CAGATACATGTATGTAAAAAATATATGTGTAAACAGCATATATTTATCCATCAGGAAGACATATGTATTTATATAATATATAGAAGACAAGTATATGGAAGATCTTATGGATGTATGTTTGTGTCGATGGATGTATACACATATTCTCATGAATCAGCTATCTAGACTACCACAAAATAATGACCCTTGCCAATATTTTTTCTTTTTCTTTCTTTCTTCTTCTCTTACATTTATTTTTTCTTTTCTTTTCTTTCCTTCTTTCTTCCTTCTCACCCATGATCCACCTTGTCTTCCTTCCCTATTTTTTTTCTTCCTACCTTCCTTTTTTTTCTTTTTCTTATTTCCTTTCCATTATTCCTGTTTTCCTTCCTAATTTTCCTCCTTTATCTCCTTTCTCACTTACTTTCCTCCTTCATTTTTTATCTTTTTTCATCAGGGCTTTGAAGTGGTTCTTCCCAATTAAGTCATAGTTAATGGAATGACATCAGAACAACCCTGGATTTGCCAAATGTTGTTGTACTGAATCAATAGCTGCAGTGAGAAAAATTCTGGGTCGGTGCCTTACTGGAAACCTAATCCCCCTCTTAGAAAACAAGAACAGCATGTGTTGCATAGCAGCCAAATCTCTTGACCAGCTGAGGTGGAAACCACAATGCCCAGCTCAAAGATGGCACCCGTTTTGAATGTATATCACACTCCACAATCCAGGCAGTAATCTAATTTCCTGTTCAGGCTCCTGAAAGGGCTCACTACACCTCATCCAAGTCTCCCATTCCAGGATTTCAACCCATAGTTTTTCCCAATCTGTTTATAGTTCTGGTACACCCACATTTTACAAATCTGAATTTGTTCTTATTTTGCTGCATTGTCTGTGAGTGAACCAGTGTGAATCCCTGTGTTTCACTGAAGGGAGTTGTTTTATGTCATGGTTTTCTTTTAACCACATCCTTGTATGTTACTTAATAAAGTCATGTACATTATTAGAATATTTGAAATTAGTTACAGTATGATTCAAATGATATATTATGTACTTTGACCTGTCAGTTTGCACTTGCAAGTGGATTTCTTGAATGTATGAGATAAATAGGGCTTGAGTGGAAGTAAGGGAAGCCAAACAATGAAACATTGTAACAATGTGAAAAAGATACTTTTAGGTTCAAGCTGAGTCCTGGTGGACTAGTCATTCTATAGTTTAATATTTGTTAATGAGTATACTGAGAAGATCTGAAGTTCTTTCCCAAATTCGTGCTTGGGATAACATGAGGTGTGAAGGGTAGGCTAGTAACAGAAAATCAGTAGGAACATAATGGTGTTGTTGTTAAGTGCCATCGCGTCAGTTCTGACCCATGGCGACCCTGTATAGGGTTTCCAAGAAGCAGCTGTTGCGCTTGAACAGTCGACCTTGTGGTTCAAATCGATCTTGCTGTCTAGCGCATTAACCCACAGCGCCACACCAGGACTCCCTTGACATACTAGAAGTGTGATAATAGGTGCCCACGCCTTTGCTGTTCTGGGAGGTAGACCATTTAAATAAAAGGCAAGATGTTGACTGTGTAAGATAGAGATGCATGGACCGGGCACTGAGAGATACAAGGAGAGGAGCGTAACTGTAGAAGCGATGGTAACAAAAATTTATAGTGGTGCCCACCGGAAGTCAGCCTATTTTCATTCTAAATTACTGCTTAAGTAGGGCTCCTTGTGTTTCATACCTATTCCTACTGAAGCTAGAAAGTTCTAAAACCAAGAAGTGGAGTAAACCTGCAGATAGGATTTATGTGATGTCAATACTGCAACAAAGGTTTCAAAGCAGACCGTCAGGAAGACTATTACTCCATGTGAAGGGTGGTGGTGGTCGAGTCGATTCCGACTCATAGCGACCCTGTACAGGGTTTCCAAGGCTGTAAATCTTTATGGGAGCAGAAAGCCTCATCTTTCTCCCGCGGAACAGTTGATAGTTTCAAACTGCTGACCTTGCAGTTCACAGCCCGATTCGTAACCACTACAGTACCAGAGCTCCTTCCATGTGAAGGGAAGCTGGTCTTTTAAAGTCATAGCCCTGGAAGGACATTCACTTATTTACTTGATGGTGTTATCATTCAAAACCTCTTATGGATCTTCTTGAAAGTAAGAATAATTAAAAAGAAATAATAAAGCAGTGCCTACCTTTTTAAAGTGTTTACTATATTCTAAGGTGTGTAGGATAAGCGCTGGACTGTTTTAATTCAAGGATAGCAGTTCAAGCCCACAAACTGCTCCTGGGAAACCCTGTACAGGGTGCTAGATTAATTTGAGGGCACTTACTGACAACAACACAATAAGTCCAATGCTTAGATGTACTTCATAATGAAGGTTATAGTCTTTGATCTTCATCAGCAAGTTCTTTAAGCCCTCCTCACTTTGAGTAGACAAGGTTTGTACATCTATATATTTCAGGTATTTACTGAGTTTTGCTACAGTATTAATGCCTCATTCTTTTTCATTTAATCCAGCTTCCCAGATTATTTGCTCAGCGTATAAATTGAATAAGTATGGTGAAAGAATACAACCCTGATCAAAAACTACATCTTTCAGTATTAAACATTCAGTACTCCACATTAAAAAAAAAAAAAAAAAAGCAACAGGAAACCTCACAATTGGACTAATAAACCATATCATGCTGAATGTAGGAAATATCGAAGTTGTCAAAGACTTGATTTACCCAGATCTACAATCAATACCCATGGAAGCAGCAGTCAGGAAATCAAACGGCATATTGTATTACGCAGGTTTGCTGCAAAAGACCTCTTTTAAAATGCTAAAAAAGAAACACATCACTGAGGACAAAGGTGTGCTTGACCAAAGTCATGGCCATTTCATTTGCTTCAGATGCATGTGAAAGTTAGAAAATGACTGGATGACTGCAGAAAAATGTATACCTTTGAAATATTGTATTGGTAAAGAATAATGAATATACCACAATTGCCAGAAGAATAAACAAATTTGTCTTGGAAGAAGTAAAATCAGAAAGCTCCTCAGAAGTGATGATGGCAAGATTTCATCACATGTACTTTGGACTTGTTATCAAGAGAGCTCAGTCTCCGGAGAAAAGGACATCATGCTTGGCAGATTAGATGGTCCGCGTAAAAGAGAAAGTCTCACAATGAGATAGATGTGCACAGTTGGCTACAGAAATGCTCAAAGAGAGCAACATTTGTGAAGATGATGCAGGACTGGACAGGGTGGTGTTCTGGTGTCCATACTATTACTATGAGTTGAAAACAATTGGATCACCCCTAACAAAACAAATACAATGTTACATTATATTATGTATCTTTAGAGCAGTCTTGTGAGATTGTTTATATTCTCATTTTACATGTGAGGAAATAGTCTTAGGGAAGTTATTAGTCTATAGTTATACAATCAAATAATAATATTCTAATAGGACAAAAAAATCACCATTTGATTTCTTAATATTTCTAAAAGCAAACTTTGAATCATGTTACTGTATCTTTAAAAAGTAAAGTTCCAATAAAAATCCATTAACTACTTTCAGATATAGCAATCCTCTTGTCCAGCTGTGAAAAGTACTAGATGATACTTATTTGCCATTTGTGTTATTTACGGTCCATGACTTTTATGGTAACTGGTTCCTATTATTGGTTTCTATTAATGTAAAACATAAGTGAACATAAATGAGGCGTGAATCATTTCTTTTTATTAGGCCCACAGTCTTCACTCAGTGCTTGCAGTAACTCCAGCTGTGTCTTGTTAGTGATAACCTATTTAAAATAGAGATCTTAAGAATAAGGAATATGATTGAAATCTTTGTCTATTTAGATCACTTCTCTTCTATTGCAACAATAATGGTGACAGAAAGAAAACAAAACGTAATTACTGGCACAGCAAAAGCATTCGCAGCCTCTGCTTTGTAGTGTGCTTGTTGTTGTTGTTAAGTACCATCAAGTCGGTTCCGACCCATAGTGACCCTGTATAGGGTTTCTGAGGAGCCCGCTGGTGAGCTTGAACCGCCGACCTTGCACTTCAAACAGCTTTGCAATCTGGCATATTAATCCACAATGCCACATCAGGACTCCTTTGTCTTGTGCTTAGTGTGATACTAATTACACAACTGGTAGATTACAGTTACTAGTATCAGTAACTAGTAACTTAATAGTAGATTATGCTGTAAATTATGACACAGTGCAATATGCAATTTCCTCTGCTCTATAAATATCCTTAAGAGGAGGTTACTATTAATATCAACGTTGTTAAACAATAACAGTTTGGAATTTTAAATAAAGAACATTTAAAATCATTAAAACTATGACCCTGCCAGATTTCTGGGGACACCAATTAAAATATGTGATTTGACATTGATCTAAAAGATTTAATTTAATTTAATTAAAAAAAATTGATGCTCTCCTATTCTCATTTGTAGGAGGGCTTTTAGGAAGGGGCTCTGATGGCACTCTAGGATAAACATTGAACTGCTCACCATAAGGTCAGTGGATCAAACTCACCAACTGCTCTGTGGGACAAAGATGAGGTTGTCTGTGCCTGTAAAACTTTAGTTTCAGAAAACCTCTAGGATCACTGTGAATCAGATATCAACTCAGTGGTAGTGGGTTTGGTTTTGGTTTTAGGAAGCTTCCTGTTAATAGTTGTATTTACTTAGAAAAGGAGAGTTCCTTTTTATTATATTAGAAGAAATACGCTTCTTTAATTAGAAAGCAAAGGAACATATAGATATACATTTCCCAGTAATAATATGAAAATCCTTTAAAAATAATTGGGGGAAATTTTGTTTCATATAAAACATATTTAATGTAGGCATTTGTACTTGAGAGAACCTTTTTTGAAGACATGTGATATTCTTCTGTCAGGTACTTCCTAATTCAATTAAAATGGCTTTTTGAAATTTAACTTAGTAAACTTACGATACTTTGTAATTTCACCATCTTTGGTCATCAATAATATGTTAGAAATGTTGTCTAATCAAATATTTACCATATCCTTACCAGGGGCCCTTTCGTGATCTCTCTGAAGTACTGCAGCAACGCTACAAGCCTTTGGAGCCAACCTTGCGGGTTGCAGAACCAATAAGTGAATTAAAGGAAGCCAGAGAGGCATTCAGAAGAGAAGAATTGGTACTTAACATACATGAAAATGTGTGAGTGCTTCGTTAAAAATCATTTCCGTACAATATTTGGTAACTTACATTTATTAATCCTTTGTTTCCCTAATGAAGATAATCTTTTATTTGTGACAGAAGGCAGAATGACCCTTGATCTGCTCAGAAGCAACCATTTTTAATAAGCAAATGTATTAGATAAATTCAATATTAATGGTGACCTAAAATAATTAATATCCAGTTGTTGTTGTTGGTAAGTGTTTTCGAGTCAGTTCCGAGTCATAACAACCCCATATAGGATTTAAAAAGTTTTTGAATTTGGGAGTGGGAAGTAGAATGTCCCATCCTTCTCCCACGTAGCACCTGGTGGGCTTGAACTGTCGACCTTGTGGTTTGCAGTTCAGTGCTAATCTTATGGGGCACTGCTAGTCAGTTATAAAAAGGGGAAAGAAATAATGAATGACATTTTAAAGGGTCTAAGTGGCCACTATCCATGAATTTGTGAAGATCATTTCCTTGCTTATCTAGTAAATGCATCATATTTATGATACTTCTAAAGTAAGTTTCAACAACAACAAAAATTTTTTTTCTAATATATTTTACTTGGACATATTGATATAGCATGACAAACCACAATCCATGGTACTTTTTAAAAACCAGGAGCGATGGAAGAGATTGGTTTCTTTATGACTGCGAAAGATGAAAGATGATCTATCTAATAGTATATGCAACTTTAAATGATATTATTAACATTATTGATTTGGGGATCCTTTCATGTCTTTCCCAGAGGGACTTTCTCTCTCTTAAGTCACTGTCGTTCATCCAAGGAGTTATAGGTGATTTATAAATAGACCATTAAAAATCTAAAATGCCTTTATTAATATTATTATTCTACGATCTATCTTATAATTATCCTTAATGTATCTTATTATAATTATTTAGGATTACAAATATGCTATGTAGTAATAAGCCACATGATTACCATACTATAACATTAGTTATTATAATTATAAAATTATTCTAATATGATAATATAACATATTAGGCAAATCTGTTGCAAAAGACCTCTTTAAAATGTTAAAGAGCAGAGAGGTCACTTTGAAGACTAAAATGCACCTGATCCAAATTGTGGTATTTTCAATCACGTCATACACAAGTGAAAGTTGGACAATGGGTAATGAAGACCGTAGAAGAACTAGAGCATTTGAACTACAGTGTTGGTGAAGAATATTTAAAGTACCATCTTCTGGAAGAACAAACGAATCTGTCATGGAAAAAGTATAGTCAGAATTCTCCTTAGAAACTAGGATGGCAAGTCTTCATCTCTTGTCTTTGGACATTTTGTCAGGAGGGATCAGTCGTTGGAGAAAGACATCATGTTTGGGAAAATGGAGGGTCAACAAAAGACAGGAAAACCCCCAACAAAGTAGACCTGTGTAGTGGCAACAACAACAATTGTGAGGATGTCTCGGGGCTGTGCTGTGTTTTGTTCTGTTGTGCATAAGATGGCTATGAATCGGATCTGACTCTATGGCACCTAACAACAACAACAACATGTTTTTGTCTTTGTTAAGTGTCACCCAGTCAGTTCCAACCCATAGCAACCCTGTATAGGGTTTCCAAGGAGTGGCTGTTGAGTTTGAACTGCTGACCTTGCAGTTCAAACTGACCTTGGGGTCGAGTGTTTATCTTACAGCGCCACACCAAGACTCAACAACAGTATAACATATTATAAATCATTTTATAATAATAGTTAATGACAACATATAAAACTATAATAATTATGTATTGCTATTTATATAATACATGCTGTTTTTGTTGTTGTTGCCATCAAGTCAATTCTGACTCACAGAGACCCTGTACAGGGTTTCTGAGGAGCACCTGCTGGGTTTGAACCACTGAACTTTTGTTTCCCAGTCCAGTGCTGATCCTACAGCACCACACCAGAAGTAGCATCAGTTGTTGTTGTTAGGTGCCATTGAGTTGGCTCAGACTCATAGTAACTTTATTATATAAATTAATGACAAATAATAAGAAGGATAATAATCACATAATGCATTACAAAGTGTGTTTTCTTACATAAAAAAACTAGAATTGCCTCTCATCTGCCACAGTGAATTTCAGACAATTTTATCAATTATAAGGGATATGTAATATGCTTTTTAGTATATATTAAAATGAGACTTTCTTAAGACTTGAAAAAGGAAAATTTTCTTAAATACTTTGTTTCATAGCAGTTACATGAACTGGAGTAATTAGCTATACAGTATTCAGCAGATTCTTTAAATAATTAACTAAGTAAATTCAATGTTAAGATGAATGCAAAAATAAACATTTTTTCTTGTTAATTTTGGGCAAGTAGATTCATTTTATTAAAGAGATTAATAGAAGATTAATGCTTCTCACACCTAGTTAAGAAAACTTACAATTCAGGGATGAATACCTAAGGAGTTTTACTATTTCAGAATTATTTCAGTCTATTCAGTGACTCAGAGGTTTTTGAAATATCAAAATTAATTTTGTGAAGAAATTGACCGTATTAATATTTCTATAGAAATCACTGGAGTCCTGGTCTGGAACTGTAGGATACACACTGGGCTGCTAACCGGAAGGTAGTTCAAACCTCAGAAACCCTATATGGTCTCACTCTGTGTCAGAAGGGACTTAAAGGCACATAACAACAATAACAACACAGAAATCAAAATATATGAAAGATACCAGATTATCCTTTCACAACATATTCCTTATGATTATCTTTTTAAATGTGTCTTATAATTGTTGTTGTTGTTAAGTGACATCGTGTATGTTCTGACTCATAGTGACCTTGTATAAGATTTCCAATGAGTGGTTGGTGGGTTTGAACTGCCGACCTTGTGGTTAGCAGCCCAGTGCTTATCCTAGGACTCCTATTATTATATAGCATATTGTTGTTGTTGTTAAGTGCCATCGAGTCAGTACCTACTTAAAGTGACCCTGTACAGGGTTTCTGAAGAGCGGCAGATGCGCTTGAACTGCCGACCTTGCGGTTCAAAGTGACCTTGCAGTCCAGAGTAATAACCCACAGCGCCACACCAAGACTTCATATAGCATATTAATAATATTTATAAGATGAAATCTTGGCTATCCTACAGCGCCCAGCCAGGATTTCACCTTATAACTAGTATTATTACTATGCTATGTAATAATAGGAGTCACTGGTGTCCTTATGGGGGAGTTCTAGGATAAGCATTGAACTTCTAACTACAAGTTTGGCAGTTCTAGCCCACCAGCCACTCCTTGGTTACCCTATACAGGTTAGCTATGAGTCAGATACGACTCGACAGCACTTATATGACTATGACTACTATATAATAACATCTATCCTGGTGTGGTGCTGTGAGTTAATGCGCCAGACTGCAAAGCCGTTTGAACTGCAAGGTTGGCGGTTCAAGCTCACCAGCTGCTCCTCGGAAACCCTATACAGGGCTACGGCTCGGAACTGACTCGACGGCACTTCACAACAACAACAACAACAACATTTAAATTATAACATGATATTGATATGGGAATATAAAGTTTTATCAATGTCATCCCCAGAGAAAAGTGTTCCACTTATGCCTTTGCTGGAACACCTGCACTTGGAAATGCTTTCTGTCTATGGTGTTGCTGATGCCCCTTTACACTGAGGCTTTCAGACATTGAGAAGAATCCACAGGAACAAGTCAAGTTGAGAGTGGTAAAGAAATCATATATAGATTTGAAGCTGTCATATTTTTTGCACCTAGGCTAAGCAGCTGGTTTGAGTAACTAATCGAAGAATAGTTTCATTTTGTCCCCCATTGGGGTGAAGGAGTAAGTATTATCACCTCTAGTTTATTTTTAAAATATTTTTTTGTGAATTATGTAATAGTTTACATGGGAGAACATTAGCTTTTCAGTCATTGTATTGTATTTTGTTTCATTGCCATGGTTACAATCCCCTCCATGTATCATCAGTTAACCAAAGGGTATACCCTGCAAACCTGCTCCCTGGTCATCAGCACATAGCTCCCTCTCTGGGTCTAGAGTCCCCAGCTGCTCCATCTCTCCACATCTTCTCTGCCTCCATCTCTGGTGTCACTGTTTCTCTGGGTAGGGTCCCGCTCTCCGCTCTTCTCCCTTGATGGTCCCAGGGACCTCTGATCCTGGACTGCAAAGTCAACCACTCCCCTCCTTTTGCTGCAAAACACCTACCTGTACATTTCCAACCCTCACAGTGAGTCATGATAGCAATTATTCACTAGAACAATTTCATTTTGAAGCCAATCAAAAGACTGATATTTTATATCTTTTATTGAAACAATTTTGTATTGAATATAATGGGTAGCATAATTGTATCATGTATGGCAAAAGAAATGCTGGGACTGTAGATTTTCTATCTTTGCAAATAGAATGTCTGTTATAGAAATGATTCGATGCTGTCGAGTTGACTGCAACTCTAAATGACCCTATGTACTACAGAACAAAACACTGCCTAGTCCTGAACCATCCTCACAACAGCACCAGAATATTTTCAGATTCAGTGCCAGAAGATGAGTCCCCCGGGGTTGGAAGGAACTCAAAATACGACTGGGCAAGAGCTGCCTCTTCAAAGTAGATTTGACCATGAGTTGTCACATCATGAAGATATGAATGGAGTACAGCTTTTGGGACTTTCGTTTGCTGATGAACCACAACTCAAAATGAAGAGAAATAGCTGTAGACATTGTTAATAATCATAACATGGAATACATAAAATATGAATCTAGGAAAATTGGAAATTGTCAAAAACTGAAATGGAATACGTAAAAATTTGATATCCTAGGCATTCGTGAACTGAAATGAAGTGATATTGGCCATTTTGAATATGACAATCATGTGGTTTATTATGCCAGGAATGACAGATTGAAAAGGAATGGCATCACATTCATCATCAAATAGTATATTTCAAAATCTATCTTGATGTACAATGCTGTTTGTGATATGATACTACCCATATGCCTACCAGGAAAACCACTTACTACTACTATTATTCAAATTAC